TTTTAATTTGTGGGGGGAAGTGATGCTTTTAGCTTGTTACATACAAAACATAATTCCTTTGAAGAAAACAGGCAAAACACCATATGAACTCTGGAAATGTCATGTACCTAACCTGAAATATTTTAAAGTGTGGGGGTGTCTTGCTAAAGTCCTAATTCCTTAACCTAAAAGGAAATGGTTAGGACCCAGGACTGTTGATTGTATGTTTGTAGGTTATGCTCAGAATAGTGCTGCTTATAGATTCCTGGTAATAAAGCAAGAGGTCGGTTTGTATGATGCAAACACAATCATTGAATATAAAAACGCAGATTTTTTTGTGAATGTTTTTCCTAAGAAAATCAATTGTGAAAAGGCTTTACCTCAAAATGAAACTTCTGAGAGTTCTCCTCAAAATGAAACTCTTCAGAATTCTTCTGAAAGTTCAGAGTTAGAAATAATGAGAAGTAAGAGAGTTAGAAAAGCCAAAAGTTTTGGTGATGATTACTATGTCTTTCTTACAGAGAATGATCCTCAGACTTATGAGGAAGCAATGACTTCTCGAGATGCATCCTTTTGGAAAGAGGCAGTAAATAATGAAATTGAGTCCATTATGAGTAATCATACATGGGAAGTAGTTAATTTGCCTCCAGGAACTAAACCAATAGGGTGCAGATGGATATTTAAAAAGAAATTAAAGACTGATGGATCAATTGATAAATACAAGGTAAGATTGATTGCCAAAGGTTATACACAAAAGAAAGATATAGATTATTTTGACACTTATGCTCCTGTAACAAGAATAGCATCAATTAGAGTGTTAATTGCTTTAGTTACAATTTACAAACTACATATACATCAAATGGATGTAAAGACAACTTTTCTTAATGGAGACCTGGATGAAGAAATTTATATGAAACAACCAGAGGGTTATGTTATCCCAAGTAATGAGCATAAAGTATGCAAACTGGTAAAGTCCCTTTGTGGACTTAAACAAGCACCAAAACAATGGCATGAGAAGTTTGACCAAGTGTTAGTCTCAAATGGTTATACAATTAATGATTCAGATAAATGTGTATATTCTAAATCATTTGAAGACAACACTTATGTGATAATATGTCTCTATGTTGATGACATGTTAATATGGATGTGATAATTAAGACTAAAGAGTTTCTTGCCTCAAATTTTGATATGAAAGATATGGGAGAGGCAAATGTTATTCTTGGGATTAAAATCATTAAGATGAATGATGGTCTTAAGTTATCACATCAACACTATGTTGAAAATTTCTTAAGAAAATTTGGGTATTTAGACAGTAAACCCGTCTCAACTCCTTATGATGGAAACACTCAACTCAAGAAAAATACACAACACAGTGTGAGTCAAAATAGATATGCCCAAATCATTGGTAGCCTTATGTATTTAATGAATAGTATGAGGCCTGATATTGCTCATGCTATCACTAGATTGAGTAGGTATAATCCTGATAAGAGTCATTGGATAGCATTAGATAAAGTTGCTAGATATTTGAAGGGCACCATTGATTATGGGCTAACGTTTGGAAGTACACCACCTATATTAGAAGGATATTTCAATGCCAATTAGATATCAAATTCAAATGAAATAAAATCCACAAGTGGTTATATCTTTACACTTGGTGGAGGTGTTGTGTCATGGGAGTCTTCCAAACAAACTTGCATAGCTCGGTCTACCATGGAGTCTGAGCTTATCGCCTTAGAAAAGGCATGTTCTGAGGTTGAGTGGTTAAGGAATTTCTTAGCAGATCTTCCCATTGAAACTCACCCTCCTGTTTCAGTATCAATCCATTGTGATTGTCAGGCCGCAATAGCGAGTGCAAAGAGCAAAATTTATAATGGGAAAAGCAAACATATCTGGATAAGACATACCATTATAAAGCAGTTGCTAAAATCTGGGGCAGTGAGCCTAGATTTTGTGAAGTCAGAGTTAAATTTGGCCGAGCCTCTGACTAAACCACTAAGTAGGAGGTTAGTGGAATACACTTCGAGGGGGATGAGACTCATGCCTAAAGCATAAGGCAAGAGTGATGGTAACCCTACCTATGTGATTGGAGATCCTAGGAAGTAGGTTCATAAGGGTAATAATAAGTCACTTATTGTCTTGTTAAGTATTATCGAATTTTATCTATAGAGAGTCCTCCCTATGGCGAGATAATACTGATTGCAGTGAATAAGGTTGAGTAAAATTACTCTTAATGAAATCCATAGCCAACATAAATAGTGGTATGAAAAACTGCAATTCACACCTTATGGAGGTTCACTTATGTGAGTGTGGAATTGGGTCGATTCCTATGAGAGCTTAGACATGCATCTCTAGAGCACTCATGAAATCCAAGCTAGCACAGGGTCATAAAGTGCTAAACCGCAGAACAATATATAATATTGAGAATTTAGTGTGAGGAACTAATCCTCTGAATTACATGAAGAAATTTTTGGTTCATAGAAACTTAGTTTCACCAAATTTCTGTAACTCACGTTTAGTTACTCAATGATTGGTTCATAGTCTGAAAGACACCAACTCATAAACATTAAATTCTATAATCAGTGGTGATTGGTTATTTTGAAATATGTGGGGGATTGTTATCATAGATGGGCTATTATGATATTTCAAAATAACAATTTTTTAATTAAATTTTTGGACTGTTATGATTTGAATGCAATTGCAATTGCTTCAGTTACTTTACAATTCAAATCATGGCTGGGCAGTTTCATTTTTTAATTAAAAATGGTTGTTATAAAGGCTGGGCAGTTTCAATCTTAATAATTAAAAAAAAAAAAAAAATGGTTGTTACATGTAAGAGGCAAGTATAAAAGGGGGTGTTTTATTCTCCTTTATGAAGAGACAATTTTCCTACTTGAGAGAATTCATTTTGCCTCTACATTTTTATAACTTCCAACTCTCCTTCACCACTTCTATTTTATCTTATACTGTTCTAAATCTCTATTAGAGTGTGCACTATAAAAGGAGATTCATCATTGTATCCTGGAGGTCAATCCGCTGTTGAGCCTTTTTACACCACGAAGATTCTTCCAGTAGGGGCGAAATTCTGATCTTAAGGATAGTGCTTTTGCACACCTTGACCCTGCTGTCTTGCTGCTATTTCGCTGCTGTGTTCGTTCTTTTTCACTACTGTATTGTTGTTGTTTTGTTGCTGTCTCTCTGTTGTTCTTGCTGTTGTTTTCTTGCTATCCTCTTACTATTTTCATGTTGTTTCACTACTGTTCTTTTGTTGTTTTGCTGCTGTCTCTCTGCTATTTTTCCTGCGATTCTCTTGCTATTTTCCTGCTGTTTCACTGCTGTTCTTCTGCTATTTCGTTACTAGTCCAGGATATGAATAAATTTATTTGAATTGAATAAACCCAAGTATGTTCCACTAAGATATCAAAGATATGATATTCTCTTTCTCATTCACTTGTCTCACAAGTTTGGTACAAAACTTTACAAAAGGGAGGGGGATTTATATAGCAACTTCTGCTGCCCTCTAAACTAATGAAAAATTGTCAACAAAAGACACACGTGTCACTCACATATATTATCAATACCATGGAATGCTATGTTACAAGATACTAAGCATGTTACATGGACACAAAGCATTAAAGTGGACAGCCACATTTTTGTATAACCAATTTTATGTTAATTTTTGAAAACTATTCTGGACCTTAATCAAATAAGAGAAAGGTTTAATCCATATAGATCCTACTTTAAATAAAGCAGCATATTAAAATTTGGGCAATATTACACTTACAACCTAATTTCATAAACTTTCTCTCACAACTCCGATATAGCATCTCACAATTTGTCAGCTTGCAATAGGTACTGTCTGCCCAACAGCGGGTCTCACCTGCCAAATTGCAAGCTGACCAATTACGAACTGTCACGTTGGGATGGTGAGAAAAACTTTGTAAGATTAGGTTGTGAGTCAATCCTTATTACTAAAATTTATAGGCCTATTTAGTACATTATTTGAAATAATATTCTATTCTGAATAAATAGGATAGGATTCTGAGAATGTGTTTGATACATTTTTAGAAAACATTGTATGAAAATATTTAGATTATTTTTTAACCCCCTACATTTGTTAATTTACTCAACACCCCCCACAATTAAAGTTTATAAATTAACAAAAATACCCCCACCCACCCAACCGACTACCGGCAACTGACCACCACCGATAGACGGTTGTTGGCAATTGCCAAAATGGCGCATGATCGATTGGATATGGCTAGTCCTATGCCGATCTGGCATTTTTCTACCAGATCCACCGTGTATATAGTCGAAAACGACCAGATTTATGACCATAATCTGGCCATCGTCAACGGCCAGATCTGGCAAGATCTAATCGTCAACGTGTAGATCTCTACGACCAGAATATGGTCGTCGTTAACGGCCAGATCTATGGTCGTGAATCTAGCCATTTCCAAGAAAATCCATGGTGGATCTAGCTGAAACATCCAAATTGGTGCCAACGCCGGCTAGCGACTGGCAGTGGTTGTTGGCGGGCGACTGTTGCTTCATGCTTGGGTGAGTGAAGATATTTTTGTTAATTTATAAACTTTTATTGAAAAAAGTAATTATTGAATAAAATATAATTAGATTTTAAATTGAATATTCAATATTAAAATAAACACGTTTTTTATATTTTAAGATAAGATAATAGAATAAATTTCGAAAAATTAACATACAAGGTATATAATCATTTACAATAAAGCATTATCATATCCTCACTAGTCTCACCTCCTGTGCTTCTCAACAACATGACTCAGAAAAAAATAACAGTTAAACCACAAAGCATCAGCCATTTGTCCTCAAATTCCAAATGCCACTTGGTAGGTTCACAGCTTCCCTAATCCGTAATCCCTACCAATAAAAAATCGTAAAACCCTGAAAATTACATGAAAGGACACGCACACCAAACCCCCTGTAAGCCACAAATATAACTGTCAGCTCAGCAGCAGCAATTCAAACTGCCTTCGTATTAATTAAAAATTACACTTCAAACTAATTTTAAAATAATTTAACAATACGTAAACCAACAAAAAGTTCCTCAACTTTATCGCTTAAACAAAAAGCTGATAAATTTCCATGAACAAAGCTACTGGCAAGCCAACATGGCCTTGACTCCATCTCCTAATCTCCTTCAATTCTCCGTTCAATCTCCGTCTACATCAGTTCACTACCTTCTCTTTGGTTCGCCATGGCCTTGTTCGCAGCAGCTTTCTCAGAAAATAAGAAATGCAAGTGTTCCGTTGGTTCCAATCGCTGTGAAGGTTTCGTCGAGGGTCAGATGTTTGACGAAATCGACGGAGGAGAATTGGTGGAGTGAGCCGGAGACTGTTGCTGCTGATGACGTGGATGGAGTGAGAGAAGACACTAAGGTAAAGCCGCCGCCGCAGAAGATTATTGCCTCGGCTAGTGATACTTTGTCACTTGGAATTCGAGAGCCGGTTTATGAGGTCTGTTTCTCTAGCTCAACTTCTTGAGAAATGTGAAGTGTTTAGGGAAGTTAAGTTACGGTACAGTTGTTAATTTTACTGTTTGTGCAATTAGTTTTTGTATTGTAGAAAGAAAATAAGATTAGCGATCACTTAGTTGAGCATGATCTTTCATATGTATAACGCTTTTTGAGAAATTTGCCACATGCTGGTGATGTTATTGGCCATGATAAGCAGCGTGGTTTTATCTGGAAACGTTATCGGGCAATTAGCCAATTCCTATACATAATAGTTAGATTTCCCAGTCGCATGTTTTTAAGTTACTAAAATGACATTGTTGTAAGTTTCTAAACAATACTGTGTTACAGTTTATACTTCTTTTATAATTAATATTGCAATTATGCCGTTGTGAGTGACCAAGATTAATTGATCATGTGTTACATAGACATGGTACTTTTAACTATTTAACTTACAATGAAGTTTGCTTTTCCTTCTCTCTCTCTCTCTCACTCTCTCTCTCTTTTTGTTACAATGCATAAATCATTCCAAATTGATCTTGCGTTGTTTGATTGAATGTTTAACATTAGAGTCTCATGCTCCTTGTTGAAAATCGCATGTTGCAATATTGGATGGGTAGTGTTACTAAATCATTTTATTGATTTTTGAACCTGTATATTGAAGGATATTTTGAGTAAATTTAATAGTTGTTATTGTTGATATATTTGCTGCTTCTTTTCCTCTCTTTTAAGGTGGTAGAAGTGAAGACAAATGGGGTTGTGTCGACTAGGAAGATAAATAGACGGCACTTATTGAAGTCCAGCGGTGGGTAAAATATTCTTGACCAAGTTATTTCTATTTCTTTGTCTTTGGATTGATTAAGGAATCATCATTGAAATTTTATGTATGTAATATATATGTGGATTCATTTACTTTTCATTATCAGGTCTTCGTCCAAGGGATATCCGGAGTGTTGATCCATCGCTTTTTTTGACAAACTCTATGCCCTCTTTGGTGGTATGTCAACTTGCTTTCTGCTATTTTGTGGTAACTTTTGTTGTGCTATCTTTGTTTTTAAGTTTTTGTATTTAATTGTGGTGTGCTTTTAGATAGTGTGTCCTGCAACTAATTTTTCTTTCTCATTTCTAATACTATAAAATTAAGAGCTAACAGTAAAGAGCCCAATAAAAGTGTTTTAAACTCTAAGAGGCGCCCTGACATGCTCAGTCAGATTTCATTAATGGGCCTCTCATGTAGATAAAATTCAGAAAAAAGGAACTCTATTCTAATGCATCTTAAGCAAATAGGGAATGGTTCAATATTAGTATTTAAACGTTAATAAAACAAATAATTTAAAAGATATATGATAACTTGCTTAAATTTCCTTTTCGACATTGCAAGTAAACAGATGTTGGAATAGAAGTACAAGGAGCATATGACTATTGCACTAACACCGAAGCATATTGCATCCTTGTATAGCAATCTTCCTGGCTTTTCCATGCAGTAGATGATGATGGAACAGAATTTTTCTTGATAATGCGTATTCCTTTTATCCCTTTTTTGTTTCTGTATTTATTTATTTCTAGAGAATGACATACATCAATCAAAGAAGAAAGTACAAAGGAGGATGAGGATTTCATGCTAGCAGAAGTTAAACTGAACAATGAATGAAGCACATGATAACAATGAAGATGAGTTCAGATTGGCATTTAATGTTATCTCCTATGATCAGTCCAATTTTCCAAGGAATTAGTTGCAGAATTTCTGTATCAATCACCTCTTGGAGATTCGTATGCGTTGGACTTAAATAATATATAATGTCTGAAGATGCTCCATTCTAATGCCAGGGCATCTTTTAAATTCAAAATATACAATAGATAACTCAAGAATTTAGATGGTAACTAGGCATTTGGCTTGTTATTTTCTAATACCTTTCAGTTCTAGAGTATTCTGGTGAAAAAATTATTATCAAAATGAATATCATAGTATTCAGTTGACTGCAGTCTGTGGTATCTGTCTAAAATTTGTTACATGGTCATGACCCAGGTACGTGAGCATGCCATTCTGCTAAATTTGGGTTCATTACGAGCAATAGCAATGCAAGAGCGTGTCCTCATATTTGACTATAATCGGTAACTTCATCTAGTTGAATACTGCAATTCATCTCATTGTCTAATCAGCTATTACTGTTTTAAATAATCATACAGTGAATTTACATGAGGGAACTTTCTGTATTAATCATTTCAGTAAAGGAGGGAAAGCTTTCATAGACACATTGTTACCTCGATTGAATCCCAAAAACATGAATGGAGGTCCATGTATGCCGTTTATGATTGAAGTAAGTTTGTCACTCTGATTCTCTGTTTTTATATACTTAATCATACCAGGATGTCTGTGGTTTTTTGTGTAGCTAAGTTAACTTTGGTGAATGCGAGAGAGATAATTAAGTTCTTGAAGGTTTTTCAAGGTAGCCTATTTATGTTCCATCACCATTCATGAGCTCATATGTTTCAACTACCAGATTTATTTGGCATTCCAACTATTACCTTCCACAACGAATGTAAATCAATCCTTGGTTTTTGCTTCTTGTACTTATGCCAAAACAAACCATCACAGACTTAGTTCCAGAATTCCAGTACTCCTTGACATGGAATAATCTGAAATTCATCCTTGCAAATTTTTTATATTGCTAGTTTATTCTATGAACTTTTCTAGTCCTTTTTACTTCTGATTTTTAGTTGTCCTGAGATTTTTAAGACTTCTGGTGTGATAATTCAGGCTGTTGAAGCAGCACTGCTTTCACGTGTACAGCGTTTGGAGCAGAGACTGATGTATATAGAACCTCGTGTGAGTATGAAGCATAGTGAGTGTTTTTCTGTTTTTTCATTTTTGTGCCTTTGTGTTTGGTTTTGGCAAGGTTTGCTCTGAAATATAATAATTCATATACTGAAGCTGAAAATTACCAATCTCTTGGGCAACAGTTGGTATGTTGTTCCTCCTGCTGCGAAATATCTTCCTGAACATAGTATCTAAAAGCTGTTTTTAAGCTCTGGAAAGTGCATTTTATTACCTAGTTTTTTCCTGTAATTGTTCTAGTATTATAAAAGCGCCTGTGAAAGGAAATATGTGAATAGAATTATCTCTTGATTTTGACGTTGTGAAAGAAAAGGCTTTTAATGGACTGATTTTGCTGGTGAAATAATGTTTTTTAATGGTTGTTTTGAATATAAACCTCTCTCTCTCTTTCATTCTCTGTATGTATTTACATATGATCGCCTGTGCTGTGTGCTTGAGCAAATTAACTAGTTTCTAGTGTTAATTGAAAGAATCTGTGAACGCATGCCTCATTATGGAAAACGGTGGAAAAGCATGCTAAAATTGCCAATTTTGGTCCATAGCCCATGTTCTTATAATCTTTTTAGGGCTGATATAGCTTTAGAAACTCATAAGGTTGTACTTCTAGTATAGAATATCAAAATACTTCTCATCTTACATGTGAAACCTGAATTTCATTGTCCTGGTGGAGCCACCTCCCTGACACTCAATCCCAAGTGGAATTTATAAATCTTCAAAATAATAAATTAGAGTATGGTAAGATGAGAGAACTTTGTTGGAAAAAAGTAATTCCACCTCACTGAAGATCAGTGCGCCCTATGGCTCTGTTTGTTTTACTCAAATTCAGTTTGTGATGAGCTAGAAAAATTTCATCAATTTTATTAGTGTAGTTTATCTTCATTTCCCTTTGGCTGTTAACTTTTTTTTGTTGCACAAACGAAATCTTTCACTCTATGTTGATAAAATGTTTATACATTTCTTCTGGTTTGAATCTCTCACATATTTTTATAAGGTTTATAGTGCACGTTAATTTCTGTTATTACAACCTTCTTTCATATTTCCATTTATTATGTTTAGAGCTTTGCTGCTTACTTCAGGTTCAAGCTCTACTTGAGGTCTTGCCCAACAGATTAACTGCTGACATATTGGAGCAACTGCGTATCAGCAAGCAAACCTTGGTATAATTTATTAATTTGGCTGTACAAATATCTTATGTTACATTATGTAACTTAAAGTCTCAAATTATCAGTTTCGTTTTAGGTTGAATTGAGTTCAAGGGCAGGGGCTTTTAGACAAATGCTCCTTGATCTGTTGGAGGACCCTCATGAAATACGCCGTATATGTATAATGGGAAGAAACTGCAGACTTTCAAAGGGAAATGAGGATTTGGAATGCTCTGTTCCCCTTGAAAAGCAGATTGCTGAGGGTAAGTTGTGCATAGGTTTCTTGTTCATTATACTTTGGACTATTTCAATGCATAGAGGTATACTTATATTACTATTATTGTGATTGGTTTGTCATTTTTTTTATTTAATTATTTATTTTTTGCAGAAGAGGAGGAAGAAATTGAGATGCTTTTGGAAAATTACCTTCAGAGGTAATTCCTTAGTCCCTAATGCATGGAATTTATATACATGATTTTCTCTAGTGCTAGCTTTATGTACACAACAATTTGAATATCTTTTCTACCTTGTCTTTCACTTAGTTATTATTGTTAGGTGTGGTCAAGGAATAAGCTATTTTCCTTTTTTTGATGTTATCAAATCTAAATATGAAACAAAATGCTAACTAATGTCATTCTTAAAGCCTACTAACGATTTACTAAAATCTAATCCAATGGCATGAGATTATCATATGTCTTGCTTCCCTATATTGTCAGTGTATACCATGCTGTTCATTGTTAACGTATTTGATAGAGAATTTTATTTCATTTATGAAACAATTACTGAGTGGGAACTAAAGATGTAGAATTTTGATGGTAAGCACTTCAAAAGTTCCGTTCGCTTTATTGGTACAATTTATACTATGAAATATCTGGTGCCAAACTTTATGTGATACACAGGTAGAACTTCATGATTTTTTGATATGACAAGTGTGAGGCAGTATTTTTTATAGGTGATTTCTTGTTCTGTCATGGAAACTTGCCAAAATGCCTTATTTCCTTTTCAGATGTGAATCTTGTCACGGGCAGTCGGAAAGGCTTCTTGATTCTGCAAAAGAAATGGAAGATTCTATTGCTGTCAATCTAAGGTCTGGCTAATATTTCAACCATCTTAATTTACATGCTTTGGTAACTTTACAATTTCTGTTTGGCATGTCGTCTAAGATAATATATTTTCACTAGCTTTAAAGTTTATGCCGCTATTGTGTGTGAAATGCATAGCAAAATTCCTGCCCTGGGGCATGACTTGGATTACTTGTTAGCTTTGCCTTTTTCAGCAGAGGATGATATTTGTAGAAAGCATCCTTTTTAAAAAAACGTGTTTATAAAAAAGAACACTAAAACTAAAAAACCATTTCTCTACAAAGGATTAGTCTGGTAGAGTAGCATTGATCATCTTTGCCTCTAAGTAAAGGCCCCTGGGCTACTTAATAGGCTTGAAATTGTTGGAAACTACGTATATATATAGTGTAAAGGGTATATTTGTAATTGTTGAGTGTGTGTATATATTTGGGTTAGGTTGTATTGTTGAAATATAAGAAATATAGAAAGAGAACATGGTATCAGAGCTCTTGGACGCATAAACCCTAAACCCATTTGCTTGTTTCTGTTTTCCGACGACGTGTTTCTATTTTCCGACGACCAACGACCTCTGGTGACGTCTTTGTCCATGGTTTCTCTCTCTCCGGTGACGTCTGCCCTTAGCCTCTCTATTTCCGGCGACGTCTGAGTATGTTCTTCCCTCTGTTTCTGTTTTTCGGCGACCTCTACCCTCTGTTTCTGTTTCTGTTTTCCGGTGACCAGCAATCTCTGGTGACGTCTTTGTCCATGGTTTCTCTCTCTCCGGTGACGTCTGCCCTTAGCCTCTCTATTTCCGGCGACGTCTGAGTATGTTCTTCCCTCTGTTTCTGTTTTTCGGCGACCTCTACCCTCTGTTTCTGTTTCTGTTTTCCGGTGACCAGCAATCTCTGGTGACGTCTTTGTCCATGGTTTCTCTCTCTCTCTGGCGACGTCTGCCCTTAGCTTCTCTGTTTCCGGCGACGTTTGAGTCTGTTCTTCGTTGTTCTTGATCTCTCCGGCGACCTCTGTTATCTCCGGCGACCTTTGTTTCTCTTTTTCCGACGAGTGCTGATTCTGTTCCAGTCTTTCTTCTCTGTTGTTGGTTTGCTGCAGTAAATCATTTCCCTCTTCTCTGTTGTTGGTTGGTGCAGTAAATCATTTTTTTTTAAAGTCAAAATGGGAATGCTTTGCGACATGCTTTGATCAGAATATTCTGAGGAACCTCAAGTTGAAGGAAGGTAAAGTTGTATCTATACAACAAAAGTCCACAGGTTTGATCATTCGGTAAGCCACTCGTAATCCTCTATACTTTTGTGTTGGCTTGGAGTTGGAAAATGTGATACCAAAGTTGTTGTGAATTAAGCCAACGTGGAGTTGTTGTAAATCATTTTTGGCTATCCTTTTGTGTTGGCTTGGAGTTGGTGTGATACCAGAGTTGTTGTAAATCCTGGTTTTTTGAGTTGTTGTGTTTGCTTGGGTTGTTTGGTGTTGAGATTGTTGTGAATCTGTGGAGTTAAGAGTTATTTGCTGGACAGTATGGCAAAGGAAAGTAAGAAGATGGTAACTGAAATTGTCACTTCTTCCACCAAAATTATTGATCGGAAATTATTGGGAAAAAGGAATTATATTCAATGGAAGTGGATTATCCGACGATATGTGTCCAACATTGATATGGGAGACCATTTAATCGAGGATTCACCTGAGGAAACAGAAAAAGATAATAAAACTCGAAAAAAATGGCTCATGGAAGATGATAAGCTCTTCAATCAAATTCAGAACAATCTCGATTCGTCTGTGGATGATGTGATTGGTCACTGTGATACAATCAAGGAGTTATGAGAGTATCTAAAGTTCTTGTATGCTGGTAAACAAGACCTGTCTCATGCCCATGAATTGTTATTGAAGATCTATCGAGCAAATATGCAAGAGAAGATGTTGCTCGAATATTATACAGAGATAAAACAAGCCTTTGAAGAAAAAAGGGTTATGTTTCCTGTCTCTACTGATGTGAAGATGAAGCAAGCACAAGAAGAACAAGTGGTAGTGCAATGTTTTCTGGCTGGGTTGAGACCAGAATATGAGATAGCTCGTACACAACTTGTTACCGGTGAGACTCTTCCCTCTCTTACGGATGTCTTTGCGCGACTTCTCAAAGTTAGTAAGGGGGAAGATTGAGGAGTGTCTAAGGGCAAAGAAACCCTTAACGATCCTAATGTTAATCATGCGGCCCTAGCTAGCATGAAGTCTGGTGATGGCAAAGGTAACAAAGGGACAAGTCGTGATACCAGGAACAATCGTGGTAATGACCCTCGTACTTGCTTTCACTATGGTGCTGAAGGTCAAGTAAAAAAAAATTGTTGGAAGCTCCATGGCAAGCCCTTGAATATGCAAGACACTCAGAACTTTGTTCATGTTGTAACTCAAGATGGTCTCTTACCCACTCCATCACAGGTTACTATCTCTGCAGCAGAATATGCTCATCTCACTCAGAATTCTTGCTCCCAGTCATTCATCCCATCGACTACCACTACATTAACCCAGTTAGGAAATCCTACAGCCTGTTTGTCCACTTCTAGTAGTAACTGAGTCATTGATTCTGGTGCTACCCACCATATGACAGGCGATACAAGTATTCTCTCCTCATTTACACCTTCTCCCAATTTGTCTCCAGTTACCTTAGCTAACGGGTCTACTGCATCTATTATTGGATGTAGTACTGCCCATCTCAACAAATTTGTCTCTTTCCTCTGTTTTGTGTCTTCTTCATTTTCCTTTTAATCTTTTATCAGTTAGTCAAATTACTAATACATTCAATTGTGGTGTTTACTTTTTTTCTACTCATTGTATATTTCAGGATCTTGGGACGAGACAGATTATTGGTAAGGGTCATGTATCAGGTGGTTTGTATATGCTCAATGATGTCTCCACTCCTGTCTCTCAACCTGTTGCGTGTACCAATGATTCATCTCTACCCATCTTACATGGTCGCCTTGGTCATCCTCCCCTTCCTATTTTGAAAAGGCTGTGTCCTAGTGAAGGGTCAATGTCACACATCGAGTGTGAGGCGTGTCAGTTTGGAAAACACTATAGAGTGTCCTATAGCCCTAGGATAAACAAAAGAGCCACAGCCCCTTTTGATGTTATCCACTCTGATGTTTGGGGTCCTTGCCCTGTGTTGTCTAAGTCTGGATATCGATATTTTGTTATTTTTGTGGATGATTTTTCACGTGTAACTTGGTTGTACTTTATGAAAAATCGTTCTGAATTATTTTCCATATTTTGTACCTTTTATTTTGAAATACAAAATCAATTTACTTCATCTATTAAAATTCTCAGAAGTGATAATGCCAAAGAATACTTTTTTGCCCCTTTCTCCTCCTTTCTGTCTATTAGAGATATTATTCATCAGTCATCATGTATTTATACACCTCAACAAAATGGAGTTGCTAAACGCAAAAATTGTCATTTATTAGAAGTCGCTCGTACTCTCCTTTTTCACATGAAAGTCTCTACAGAATTTTGGGCAGATGCTATCTCTACAGCATGTCACTTGATCAATCGCATGCCTTCTTCTGTTTTGGATGGTCAAATCCCGTTCTCCATCCTTTTTCCATCACAGCCTTTATTCTCTCTTCCTCCTAAAGTGTTTGGGTGCACGTGCTTTGTTCATGATGTTAAACCTCTTGTATCCAAATTTGAACCTAGGTCGCTCAAGTGCATATTCTTGGGTTATTCCCTATATCATAAGGGTTATTGCTGTTTTTCTCCTTTCCTAGGTAAGTACCTTATCTCAGCTGATGTTTCCTTTTTTGAAACCACTCCATATGTTGAGTCCTTCACTTCATCTACTTCTCTTAAAGCACCCCCTGATGATCTTCTTGTTTACAACATTACCCATCATAGTTCTCTACCATCTTGTCCTCCTATCACCCAGGTATACTCTCGCAGGGTTCACCAGCACCATGAGACACCTGCAGCAACATCTGATCCACTGCCTCTATCGATTGCCTCGCCCTCGGATCCTGTTCCTCCTTCCTCTGACCATGATCATGATCTTCCCATTGCTCTTCGTAAAGGTAAGCGCTCTTGTACCTATCACTCTTTGTCTTCATCTTCCAAGTCTTTTATTGCCTCTTTAGACTCCGTGTATGTTCCCAACTCTGTGTCTGAAGCAATTGCTCATGATGGGTGGCGAAGGGCTATGGAAGAATAGATGTTGGCTCTAGAGCATAATGATACATGGGTTCTAATGGAGTTGCCTGAAAATAAAAAGGCTATTGGGTGCAAATGGGTTTTCACAGTGAAGGCTAATCCCGATGGGACTGTGGCTCGGTTGAAAGCTTGGTTGGTTGCTAAAGGTTATGCCCAGATGTATGGTATTGATTATTCTGAGACATTCTCCCTAGTGGCTAAAATAACCTCTATCTGACTATTCATCTCTCTTGCAGCTTCATATTGTTGGCCTCTAGACTTGATGTAAAAAATGTCTTTTCACATGGTGATCTTCTTGAAGAAGTTTACATGTAGCAACCTCCGAGGTTTGTTGCTCAGGGGGAGTTAGGAAAGGTATGCAAACTAAGGAAATCTTTATATGACTTAAAGCAATCTCCATGGGTGTGGTTTGGGAGGTTTAGCGAAGTGGTGACTCAGTTTGATTTACATAGGAGTGCTTATGATCACTCTGTCTTTTATAAGCAATCTAGTTCTGGCATCATTCTTTTGGTTGTTTATGGTGATGACATTGTAATCACTGGCAGTGATGATGTTGGCATTCAGAGTTTAAAAACCTTTTGGCTTCCAAATTTCGCACAAAAGACTTGGGCACTTTAAGGTATTTTCTAGGAGTCGAAGTTTCTCGGAGTAAGAAAGAGATTTTTCTCTCTCAACACAAGTATGTGTTGACCGAAATGGGTCTAAGTGAGGCTAAGCCTTATGACACTCCTATGGTTCCTAATGTGAGATTGAATGCTGAGGATGGAGAGATGTTTGGTGGTCCAAAGAGGTACAGACGGATAGTTGGAAAGTTAAACTACCTTACAGTAACCCGTCCAGATATTGTTTTTTCAGTGAGTGTGGTGAGTCAGTTTATGTCATCTCCTAGGACATTTCATCGGGATACGGTCCTCCATATTTTGAAGTATCTAAAAGGAGCCCCTGGATGTGGGATTCTTTACAGTGATCATGGTCATAATAAGGTAGAAGGTTTTTCAGATGCTGATTGGGCAGGATCCTCTATGGATAGACGGTCTATGACTGGGTTTTGTGTTTTTGTAAGAGGAAATCTTATTTCTTGGAAAAGTAAGAAGCAACCGGTTGTAGCTAGGTCAAGCACAGAGTCTGAGTGTCAGTCTATGACACAAGTTACATGTGAGCTCATATGGACAAGACATCTTCTTAGAGAAATTGGGTTTGGTGACCCAAGGACTATGGACTTGTGATGTGACAACCAAACAGTCATACATATAGCAAACAATCCAATTTTTCACGAGAGGACTAAGCATATAGAAGTGGATTATCACTTTGTGCGAGAGAAACTTGAACAAAAGTTAATTGCTACCAATCATGTTAGAACAAAGAAACAACTAGCTGACATCTTCACGAAGTCTCTAGTTGGGAAAAGGGTTACTTATATTTGTAACAAGCTGGGTATGATAGATATATATGCTCCCGTTTGAGGGGGAGTGTTGGAAACTATGTATATATATAGTGTAAAGGGTATATTTGTAATTGTTGAGTGTGTGTATATATTTGAGTTAGGTTGTATTGTTGAAATATAAGAAATATAGAAAGAGAACAAAATTTATTTACCCGTCTCTGGGATGGATCGATTTTGGAACTTTTCTTTTCTCCTCTGTTTTTGGTGCATAAGACCTAATGTAATGGCATACCATGGACCTGCAGAGACAAAAGTGCAATAAAGTTTGGACAGGGTTGTTGATTATGGCATTTAATTTTATGATATGTATCATGGTTGAATTCTTAAGACAATGAAATAGATCTTGCCATCAATTGAGCAATGATTAACCAGACCAACTTCNACCTAATGTAATGGCATACCATGGACCTGCAGAGACAAAAGTGCAATAAAGTTTGGACAGGGTTGTTGATTATGGCATTTAATTTTATGATATGTATCATAATTGAATTTTTAAGACAATGAAATAGATCTTGCCATCAATTGAGCAATGATTAACCAGACCAACTTCACAGCCATGTCATAATATTTTTGCACCCCAGACCATACATGATTTGGACCATAACAATGCAATGTAGTTCACTTTCTTCCCGGCAGAAAGCCAGATACAACTCAATATCTTCTTAGATTTTCCTTTATTATTTTGTACTTAAAGTTGTGAGGTAAATGGAAGGTCATGGGCTTACCTCAATCAGAGACAAATGCATTTTGTCCCATGCTCCATCAAATATGATTTTTAGAATGGATGGACCATTTGTTCATTTCAAGATTTTTTCTTTCACCTAAGTATTTGCTGATAAAAAAAATTCTTGCTACAAAACAGGCTTTAATACCCTTTCCTCAGACCCTATTAGCAAGCCATTATCCACCAAAAGAGAAAAAGGAAAAGGAAAGAAATACAGTATTATACAAAAACCTTTCGGCGTTCCCATTGCTAGCCTGGATTGCATGATGGGTTGAGCATAGCATAATAACCTTTAAGATTCGATTTTCCTAGCAATTCATTGTACCTGAACTCATTCTCCTCTTACTGATCAAGTTGAGATTGAATTGATTTAATTTATCAGCTCTCGGAGGCTTGAGGTTAGCAGAGTGGAATTACTTCTCCAGGTTGGGACCTTTTGTGTGGCAGTTGGTGCTCTAGTTGCAGGTATGCTCTCTGCCAAAAGAAAATAAACATCTATCCTTTATTAATTATATGCCATAATATGCTTCATAACAGATGAATTGAGTACTAACCACGATTCACTTTGTATTGCATCATATTGCATGCGCAGCACATGATGTGATTGTCTGAGCACCTGCCTTATGGTTTAATTACTATGATAAAGCCTATTCATTATCCTGAATACAGTTTAGGATTTCCTGGAACTCAATAAGTGCAGAATATAGTAGCTACATATATGCTTTCTCCATAAGGTAATAGGACACAGGAGCTACCTTGATGACTCGAAACAAGTCGGTGAAGTTAATAAATTCATATATCCATAAACCCCTGAAACTCATATGCTAAGCAGATAGAGTTTGAACAGATAATTGGTCAAATAAAATCTTACCAAGCATAAAATTCAAAAAGAAACAAAAAATGGATAACCATTCTTTAATTTTGAAACAATTGCCATGCTATACTGAAAACTGGATTATTTGGTAAGCATATGAACCTGGAGTCTGTTGAAACCTTAAGTGGCGGAAATTCAGCCTGCAATGCCCTAGTTGACAGCCAGGTTCTTGATGGCTTTCTGAGTTTAATAATCCATTAGATCCCATAATACAACAGAATGATCTAGGATGGTATTTAATGCTAGTTTACACACACTGCTATGACTATTGAAAGAATACTCATCAATCCTCATGACAGTGAAACCATTTTTTACTTGTTTCTCATGGAAAGCCATATCGATCTAACTTTTGTGGTTTAACAGTTACTCAACAAACGATTGAATGGTGAGTTTTGGCATTCAACTAATATAGCTATGCTGTTTTTTATAATCTTATGAAATTTTATGTCCTGAAATGGCTTTCAGTTGAAGGCTATGTAAGAATTATCCAAAGTTTGAACATTTGAAACAATTTATTTACATCAAACCAATTGCTAACCGTTGAGAATTTTGAACTTGATGCTATGAATGACATTATTCTTAAGCCCATATCAATAATCTGTTTCCTGCTGCAGGTATATTTGGCATGAACTTGAGGTCGTACCTTGAAGAACATGTGGTATGTTAATTTTTGATGATCTAGATTAATAATTGTTTCTGCTATATATTTTTGGTTCCCTTTTTTGTTTTGACTGTTCTACCCTGTTCATGGCATGTTACCCATTTGTTTGACTTGATGCAGTTTGCATTTTGGCTAACGACAGCTGGGATAATTGTTGGTGCTGTTGTGGCATTTTTTCTTATGTATTCGTATCTTAGGACTAGGAAGATACTGTAAATAAGGAGATCATTCAAGCTGAGGTAAGGATTATATCCTTTAGACATTAGTTTCCAGTAAAACAACAATGAGCATCCGTTGTTAATGGTAACATTATATGTAAAACGGTGAGTTTAGGAACATTTCAGAGTAGTTTGATTCATTAAAGTAAAATTTAAATTCATGGATATGAACATGCAAGCAATAAAACAAGTCTTGAAAGCTAATATTCTCGTTCATTTTACAGGTGATACCAATGGTGAAGAACTCTTTGATTGGATTACACTTACTGAGGTCCATAAAATGTTGTTGTCGAGTAAATTACTAAATTATAGATTTTGTTGTTATCAAGTATCTGTTCGATTGCCTGAGGAGATTGCGGCAGTGGCAGCTGTCAAAACCAATTGACTGAATTTGCATTGACACGTCTTGTAAGTCTAGCAAGGAACAGTACAAAATTTTATATCATTGATAACTGAAGGGAAATCTTGCAAGAGACGGTTATACAAGAGTTAAAATGTTACAGATCTTTTGTCAGTACTGACGCCTACAGCTATTTTAGTTACATAGATCAACTAATCTTTTAGAAAGCAATGCCATAAATCTTGGGTGGCAGTTCGAATGCCATGTGAGTCTGGGTCCCTGCCAGCTCAACCGAGCTTTAAGCACAACAACACTAACATATGGCAGTTGACCGATTGCTTCAGCCTCGGGGCTTCCTTAAAGTAGGCCATCTTCCACATCACTCAATTCTTAGATGCGATGAAATAGTCAAATACATTAATGATACAAGGACCATAAGAAAAAGTTGGGCAGGAATTGGTATTATACATCACCCAACTTTTGTTACAAGTTAGAACATGAAAATTTAGCAAATGTAAACACAACCATGATTCTGGTCTGAAACAAAATTCCTAAGATGCCCAATTGCCATATGCAACCAGCTCTATTACACGATAACAACAAATCAAGAAACGTCACCACATATAAAATTGCATCTCCAAATAAACTACTGATCTAGAATAAGTTTTTGATACATGAACCGCTGGAAAATAATTGTGAATTGTACAAGAATACACTAAACTAAATCTGTGACGTAACTGGAGGGTTCACTTGAGACATACTGTAATTTGAACAAAGCCAGGAGGTTCTGTTTCTAGAGCAGGAGAAAACAACCGACTAAACCACTAACCCATTACATGAGTGATGACTCAATGACCAAAGGTTCTTAAGTCAATTCATCACATCATAATACAGATCTCGATACGCAAAACCCAACTTTTCATAGGAATGATAGAGGCCACATTTGGCAGGTTATACAGGTGATAAAAAAGTATCAGAAAAACATGTGACAAACACTACCTGGACAAGTTAGTCTATCTATGATGTGGAATTTAGAATGGCTTGGGTTTCTTTGAGTGGATTTGAATCTCCATTAATGGCTATATTCCCCATTCCCACCTCCATGGCTTCCCTCTCATCTGTCTCTCTCTTCTTTTCAGATATACTCTCTTCTGTTGTCCTGGGCTCCATAGCACCCATTGAAGGCTGAAGAAGCCGAGGTCCAGCACTGAGCCATGGATGACTAAGACATTGAGCTGCTGTTGGTCTCTTTTCAGGGACAAAATCAAGTAATGGAACAAGGAAGTCAGCCATGTCATTTGCATCTTGCTCACTGAAGTCGTACTTCTCTGCAAGCACCTTATTAAGAGGCCAGAAGCGCAAACGACGAATGTGCCTCAAATCCCCATGTCTATTGAAGAAATCACGAGAATAACGACCACCTAACGCCACCTGAAGAACATATATCTTACCAGTATAAATANCGTACCTTGAAGAACATGTGGTATGTTAATTTTTGATGATCTAGATTAATAATTGTTTCTGCTATATATTTTTGGTTCCCTTTTTTGTTTTGACTGTTCTACCCTGTTCATGGCATGTTACCCATTTGTTTGACTTGATGCAGTTTGCATTTTGGCTAACGACAGCTGGGATAATTGTTGGTGCTGTTGTGGCATTTTTTCTTATGTATTCGTATCTTAGGACTAGGAAGATACTGTAAATAAGGAGATCATTCAAGCTGAGGTAAGGATTATATCCTTTAGACATTAGTTTCCAGTAAAACAACAATGAGCATCCGTTGTTAATGGTAAAATTATATGTAAAACGGTGAGTTTAGGAACATTTCAGAGTAGTTTGATTCATTACAGTAAAATTTAAATTCATGGATATGAACATGCAAGCAATAAAACAAGTCTTGAAAGCTAATACTCTCATTCATTTTACAGGTGATACCAATGGTGAAGAACTCTTTGATTGGATTACACTTACTGAGGTCCATAAAATGTTGTTGTCGAGTAAATTACTAAATTATAGATTTTGTTGTTATCAAGTATCTGTTCGATTGCCTGAGGAGATTGCGGCAGTGGCAGCTGTCAAAACCAATTGACTGAATTTGCATTGACACGTCTTGTAAGTCTAGCAAGGAACAGTACAAAATTTTATATCATTGATAACTGAAGGGAAATCTTGCAAGAGACGGTTATACAAGAGTTAAAATGTTACAGATCTTTTGTCAGTACTGACGCCTACAGCTATTTTAGTTACATAGATCAACTAATCTTTTAGAAAGCAATGCCATAAATCTTGGGTGGCAGTTCGAATGCCATGTGAGTCTGGGTCCCTGCCAGCTCAACCGAGCTTTAAGCACAACAACACTAACATATGGCAGTTGACCGATTGCTTCAGCCTCGGGGCTTCCTTAAAGTAGGCCATCTTCCACATCACTCAATTCTTAGATGCGATGAAATAGTCAAATACATTAATGATACAAGGACCATAAGAAAAAGTTGGGCAGGAATTGGTATTATACATCACCCAACTTTTGTTACAAGTTAGAACATGAAAATTTAGCAAATGTAAACACAACCATGATTCTGGTCTGAAACAAAATTCCTAAGATGCCCAATTGCCATATGCAACCAGCTCTATTACACGATAACAACAAATCAAGAAACGTCACCACATATAAAATTGCATCTCCAAATAAACTACTGATCTAGAATAAGTTTTTGATACATGAACCGCTGGAAAATAATTGTGAATTGTACAAGAATACACTAAACTAAATCTGTGACGTAACTGGAGGGTTCACTTGAGACATACTGTAATTTGAACAAAGCCAGGAGGTTCTGTTTCTAGAGCAGGAGAAAACAACCGACTAAACCACTAACCCATTACATGAGTGATGACTCAATGACCAAAGGTTCTTAAGTCAATTCATCACATCATAATACAGATCTCGATACGCAAAACCCAACTTTTCATAGGAATGATAGAGGCCACATTTGGCAGGTTATACAGGTGATAAAAAAGTATCAGAAAAACATGTGACAAACACTACCTGGACAAGTTAGTCTATCTATGATGTGGAATTTAGAATGGCTTGGGTTTCTTTGAGTGGATTTGAATCTCCATTAATGGCTATATTCCCCATTCCCACCTCCATGGCTTCCCTCTCATCTGTCTCTCTTGTCTTTTCAGATATACTCTCTTCTGTTGCCCTGGGCTCCATAGCACCCATTGAAGGCTGAAGAAGCCGAGGTCCTGCACTGAGCCATGGATGACTAAGACATTGAGCTGCTGTTGGTCTCTTTTCAGGGACAAAATCAAGTAATGGAACAAGGAAGTCAGCCATGTCATTTGCATCTTGCTCACTGAAGTCGTACTTCTCTGCAAGCACCTTATTAAGAGGCCAGAAGCGCAAACGACGAATGTGCCTCAAATCCCCATGTCTATTGAAGAAATCACGAGAATAACGACCACCTAACGCCACCTGAAGAACATATATCTTACCAGTATAAATATAGTCTCATAGCACGTCATAAGTGTTCTTGAAAGGAAGTCAAAATGGTCAAATCTAATTTCTAGGAAATAACAGTATATGAGCTAGTATTTTCCAAGTTGGTATTAACAAGCACATTGACGGTTTACCTTGCGTGGCATCATCCCAAGAAGCTCCATCATTAACGCCAAGTGATCCTGCAAGTGAAACCTAGAAAGTTCAAAAAAACAACGACAATGTAGAAAATGAACAAAGAGCCAAAACTGATAATGAACTAGCTGTCTACCAACCATGCATCATGCAAATATGTACTTCTGTCAGTCAAAAGTTAGTATTTTTTACAATGTAAAAAAAAGCAAAATTGGTGGGTAGAAGTTTGTTCTAAATAAAATTTCCCTAAAATAATCCTGTTTCTGAATGTACTCATTGGATAATAACAACATTTGATTTAACTTGGCTGGACTACTTTCAAGCCAATCCCCACCCTCTATTACCAGGCCCAACAATCACTAAGATCCAAAAAAATTATAAACTAAATAAAATTAGCAAAGAAAATACAACAAGGTCCCACACATGAAAATCACAAATGTTAATTGCTAGTTAGGTTTTTACATTAAATTGCAGGAGAAAACCAAACGATTGTATGAAATACGCAGTAAAGAAACAATGTGCACAGACCTCATCCCTATCATAGTTGTCACCACTATGAGGATCAAAAAGAACATCGCCCGTGGCCAGCTCAAAGCATATGCAAGCAAAGGACCATAAATCAGCTGAAGTTGAGTATTTAGATCCAAGAAGAACCTCTGGACATCTATACTGCCTAGTCTGAATGTCATTTGTAAATTGTTTGTATGTCCAACAAGCATTTCCAAAATCAACCAATTTACACTTCAGATCAACTGCTGCCAAAAGCTTTTTCCTTGTGGAACGGCTAGGTCTTCTATTACTTTGATTTCCTTGACTAGCATCCTTTATTCCACTATTCTTACTTGATTCATCTTTACTCAAAGAAACATTCTGTTCTTCAACAGAATCCTCATTAGATTTCTTATCAATACGACAACTATCAGGACTAGATGTTTTGGAATCTGCCTCATTTTCCTCAGATGCTTCATTCCCTGAACCCTGAGCTGCCTTCTTAGCCTTCTTTCGGATCTTCTTTTTTTGATTCTTGGTCAGATCCCCATATGAACTCTTAATTTCTTTAGAAGCACTGGACTCAGTCACAATTTTATCCTTTTTTGTAGGAAGGATGAGAGGGGCACCTGATTTACAGGGATCTTTAGATGTATCAATCATTGACAAAAGCAATATATTCTCTGGCTTCAAATCAGTGTGAATAATCGAAAGCTCACGATGCAAATAATCCAAACCCACTAAAACATGGAAACAGATTTCTTTCACCATCTGTAAAGGAACCCCTCGGTAATCAGTATACTTAATAAGGGTCAAAAGGTTATCTCCCAAATACTCAAAAACCATACACACATGCTGTCCATTTGGCCCTGAATGCTTAAAATGATCTAGAAGCTTCACCACGCACTTTTTATCTTCAGGGTCTCCATCAGCAATCTGCTTGAGGATCTTTATCTCATCCATGGCTGCCTCAGTATAGTGCTGAGCACTCTTCTGGACTTTCAAAGCTACATAATGCTACAAACAATGAATTTCTCATGATGTTAAAGCACTGAACAATGAAAAGTAACTGGAAGGGCCTGATTCAATCTTTAACACGTGAACAAAATACATCATAGAAATAAAAGACCTAAAAGATGGTAGTTATATCTATCCAAAACAAATGACAATTCGAAGATGAATATTAACCATATCAGAGAAACTAAACTTAACTAATCCTAACATTAATCTGAGTCACAGAAGCATCAAATTACCCCTTTTTCCTTTATTTCCTAAAATATCTCGACACCTAAATAACAAATTTCCTCAGAGAAATTCAATTGAACAAGTTAAATTTCCGATGCCTTTTCTTTCAGTAAAACTTTACTTCCGATTTTTATTTTACTTTGCCCGCATTCTCAGCAATCCAACAAATCCCTTTTTTTTTTTTTTTTCTTTCCTTTTCGTTTCTCTTTCTTGCAATTTCCTATTCTTTCTCACAAACCAAACACAAATAAAACAAAAAAAAAAAAAATTTAAAGACAAAAACGTACAGAAGTTTGAGTGTCCCAAGCAAGCCAAACAGTAGAGAAATGGCCCCAGCCAAGCTTAGTCTGTACCACATAGCGACCATTCTTGAAAGAATCACCAATACGCACCGCATGGTACCCTCCTCTCCTGTAATCCTCTGTCCCCTCATCCTCTGATGTGTACTCACTCACCTCACTTCGATTTCCATTTTTGTCCTCCGCCGCCATTGCGATAAAAACCAGTGAGATTTGATTTGATTGAATTGACAATTAAAGAAGACAAAGTAAAGCTTCCGGAAGAAACCCTGGTGGTGGATTGGTTGGTTTGTTGGAGGTAGTGGAGAAAATCAGAAATTAGGGTTTTTGAGTGCGTTTGTCTTGCCGGGAAATTAAAGTAATCAGCTAATTATGTATATGTGGAGAGTGACAGAAGGAGGTGTATCCACGCGCATTGAGCGCGTGACATAATTTCAGTATAATTGTCGGATTCTGGGTGGTTTAATAGATGGGTCAAGTATCTAGTAGGATAGTCTCATCTTTTATTATTTAAAATGGGGTCCTTACCGATGATGGAGTTTTTCTTTTAAAAAAATTTAAGAGTTATCATAAAGTAAACAAATATCTTTTTTTTTTTTTTTTTTTTAATGAAGGGGGGTGTGAGAAACAATTTACGTGTATCTTCACTAATCTCTTAAGACCTTAAAAGTATCAAAATAATAAAAACTTCTGGTGACTACATCCAAAAGTTCTTATCGAAACATTCAGGGTCTGTTTGTTTTGTAATTTTGGATAAGATTTTGGAAATAATATTGGGTAGTTGAATAAGGGAGTATTACAAGGTAAAATTTAAAAATTAACAAAAAAAACCCACTAAGTTTGCTAATTTAACTAAACACCCCAATATATAAAATTTTTATAAAATGACAAAAATACCCCCACCCACCTACTGTGCCAGATTCCGGCCACCACCGCCGGAATTTGGCTGAAAAATGGCGTTACGACGCAGATCGGTCGGATCTGACGGGTAGGCCGTTGATATGGCATTTTCCGGCTAGATCCACCACGAATCTAGCTGGAAAATGTCAGATCTGGCCGTTGACGGTCGCAAAAGTCCAGATCTGGCCGTCAGCGACAGCCAAATGTATGGTCGTCATTGTCGGTCAATGATGGCCATTTCTTTGGTCATCGCTGATGGCCAAATCGGTGAATTACCTATCAGTTTTGGTCGTTTGTAGGCCGTTATGACAGTTCCGGTTACCACCTATGGTGATTGCCGAAATCTGGCAAATATGGATGGGTGGGGGTGTTTTGTTAATTTTTAAACTTTTTTCTGAGGGTATTTAATGAAATTAATAAACTTAAAGAGTCTAAAAGTAATTAAAAAAATATACTAATATTTCTCAAATAACAAAACAAACAAGTATTTTGGGAATATGAATATAAATAATAAGTCAAACGGAGCCTTGACCAGTAAGAGGTAATTACAAATATCTATTAGCAAGCAATTAAATTTCGTATTGTTATGAATTCATAAATATTATTAAACTATTCTCCTACCGATTGTTTTAATATTTGAAACTTTATGATACAAGAATTTCTATTATTTCTTAAACTTCAAGAGAATTTTTTTGTATTTTATCATATTTAATGAGGAGTAATGTTATTAACCCAAAAATTAATGATAATAATAAGATTTTGATTTAATTTTAAAGGTGAGAGTGACACTTATCTTTTAATTTGCTCAAAAATAGTCCATATGATATGTTGATTTAACAAAAAAATTAAATAGCTAACAACAGGTACTCAACTAGCCATTATAGTGTACTTCTAATGAACATCATGTAAAATATATTTTGAAAATAACATGATGCCTAACGTTTAAATAAAAAATGTTGTATTATTTCTCAAATAATCGTATTTATAGAGAAAATATGAAGAATTTTAGATATACAATAATTATGAAAGATTTAATTAACAAAAACCAATGAAATTTTTTATTAAACATATGGAAAGGACAGCTAAGTTGAAAACTTGAAATGGGTGGCATCATAAAAGAGGGCATAGAATAAAAATATATTAATTAAAAAAATAATCATGAATCATTTACCTTCTTTTTTTTTTTAAATAATCATGAATCATTATGGATTAGTTTTTAATGAATTTATATAATAAGATTACCCAAGATTCTCTATTGAAATCGTTTGCTATCTTGTTTTTGTTTTTTTAATTAAAAAAATATTTTTGCTTGATCTTGTTAAGTTCCTCTCTTGTAATTTAAAATTAAGAAAAGGGGTTTTTCTGCACCCCTAAGGTTTAATTAAATAATAAAATTATTCTTGAGATTTCATAAACAATATAAATTTTTTCTACGTTAATGTACTGTTAGAATCTATAACATGATAGGTTAATGAATATTTTTTTTGTTGTCCTGTTTATTTTAACACCGTATACTTAACTGTGTAGGGATTTCTATTTTTAATATAATTATAGGGGAGTTCGTTATTTGATTATACTTGTTTGTGTGGGCAGTCTGATGATAATTGAATATTATAATGGGGGTGTTTTGCACTGTTGAATTTGTATTTTGCGTGGGATAGACTCAAATTCTGATTATGTATTCGTGGTAATATCACCAATCAATTACACTACTCTATTTTATTTTATTTTTTTATTTTTTTGTGATTAGGGTGTCTGGTCAGCTTACAGCCTTACATCTATCCCAATTAATTTTTTAGATTCTAAAGTTAACGATTGAATAAATCTTATCAATAATCACCCTTATTACAAACAAAATGGATTAAATTCAAGGCTCATTAAATAATACACCAAAAATGTTAATTGATTTAATGATGGTTACGATTTTGTCTTTTAATGAGCTCACATTTATTTATTTTATTTTCACCCAGATCATGTTCTAATTTCTGGGTAGATGTTATGCCACTGCCACTGCCACGTACTGGGTCGCTTTGTAGCCACTCAAAAGTACTTTCACAACTCACAATAACCACACAATCAAATTTAAGCTTCACTCAGTTAAAAGTTAATAATTTTATTGGCTTATCAAAGATGGTGGTAAGGCCAATGAATTCATTGAGGGGTTCAAGTAGTTTCTTGATTATTTTAAAAAAGAAGAAAGAAACATAAAGTATAAAGATCAGTGAAAAAAGAGTGTTGGTGTTTGTGCGAGTAATGGGATTGATTGCATAAACATAGACCAAACTTGATTTCAAGGAAACTCTGAGGGACACAAATCTAGAGAGATTTTAGGTTATATATGTGGGAGCCAAGGGTGGAAAAATAACCCGCGGGGCGGGGCAGGTTAGGCCCACTTCTTTGGCCAAAAGGGTTGGCCCAGTCCAACCCATCAATCCAAACCTGGTGGGTTTCTATGCTGGCTAATCCGAAATTTTTTTTTTTTTGTGTAATTTTTTTAGCTAACTTTTCAAATATCAATAATTCAATTAAATTAATTTTTTTTTTGTTAATATTTAAAATATTAATTCAATTTTAATATAATTAAATTGTAATATAAGAAAAATTAGATTTCTTCATTTATCAAAAATAAAATAAGAAATAAGAAATTACAACAACTATTGCCTCGTTAAAAACCTTACCAAGAAAAACTCAATCTGGATAAAAGCTTGACAAGGAAAAAATAGTACAATAATTGATAGTTAATTTACAAATTATAATGTTATAATTTATAAAATAACTAATTTGAGGGTTGACTATGATCTCCTTCATCTGTATCATCTAAATTACAAAATTGAAATGATTCTATTAAAATATCGTCAACAACCTCGTATTGATCCTGATGATGCAACCATTCCCAATCTCGAAGACATGTGAGGACTTCAATCAATTTTAGTGAAAGTTTAGTCCTCATGTCATTTAAAATTCTTTCACTTACACTAAATGTTTGTTCGGATGAGACAGATGAGATAGAAACGGAGAAAACATCCAAGGCAAGTCTTGATAATATTGGAAAAATACATTTTCTAGTTTTCCAATATTCTAAGACATCAAAGTTGCCTCTTTGTTGTGGATCTGCTGATAGCACGTCGGAGGTTCCTAAATATTGGTGAAGCTCATTACTCTGTAGTTGCATGAAGGATAGTATATTTGTTGTTGATGCTTCTGAAGATGAGGCTATGCTTCAGGTTCGGGTCCTCTCAGGCCTATTAAGTGCATTCCAAGAGTCGAAGTTTTCATTTGTGTCTTTTGATGCTACTTTCTCTGGTATTTTGCCTCTTCGCTGGTTCTTATACCTATTTTCATATTGCAAATATACCTCTGCAAGACACTGTCTTATCTCTTCTAATTGATTGACATATGCTTCCTCTCGTAAATTTTCACTTAACGTGTCTAAATCATTTTCTAAACCTGCTAATTTAATTATAGGATCAAATATGGCAGCTAAACAAAAAAGAAAATGAAGAAGTTTCCAATAGTTTTTAAATTTTAATTTCATTGTCTCTATTGATCCCGCTAAAATTTCATTGTTTCTGTTTTTTTTTTTTTTAAATAAATCTACAATTTTTATAATTGTATGTATTACTAATGGACTAGTAGGATAATACACACCAAAAAGTTTTAAAGTGGATTGATAAAAAAATTTAAGAAAATAATGAAAATTTTGAGCTATATACCAATCACTGTCTACCAAATAATGAGGACCCTATTATTTGCTACAAAAACACTAATTAAATTTGCATAAGGTAAACATGAATCAAGCATTAAATATGTACTATTCCATCTAACATGCATGTCTAAGGCAAAAATTCTAGGAGACATATTTGATTTTATACAAGTATCTTGAAATTCAACATTTCTTCTATTATTACTAGTAATCAAAACTGAAGAATCCATAAGTCTATCAATATTATTTTTAATTTTTTTCATACCACTTTTCACAATTAAATTAATAATGTGCATGCACAATGTTGGTGAAAAAACTTCAAATTGTCATAAAAGGAAAATTTATTTTAAAAAAATCTATAGCTCTACTATTAGCACTTGCATTATCTAAAATTAAACTTATCACTTTATGAACAATATCATAATCTTCTAAAACTACAACAATTTTATTATAAATTTGTTGACCACTATGATCCACATCCATTAATCTAAATCCCAATAAAGATTTATTTAACTTACATTCGTTATCAAAATAATGACTAGTCATACAAATATAATCTTATTTAGCTCTACCAATCCAAATATCAGCGGTTAGAGCCTTACTAACATGACAACTACGTATTTTATTTTTTAATTTTAATTTCATTTTCCAAACAATTTTATTAAATCATTTCTAGTTGCAGTTTTAGAATAACTTTTAAATCCTAGAAAAAATGAATTTTTAATAAATCTTTC